ATATTTCATATCCAGCTTTTAGCGCAGACCTTGATATTTAGGAGACAGTCATTAAGGTTTGTCAAATGAGGTCCTTCATTAATTTGACCTGAAGTCCCTCTCTCAAACATGCAGCTATTGTGCTAGTTTTTCTAGTTGTAGGAAACTTAGTAAATCCATACCTCAGACACCAGGTATTCTCTCCCCTTTTCTCAAGGCTCTTCATTACTTACCTAGAGAGAAAGATGCAGATCCTTTAAATTATAAAAAAACAAAGTAAGTGCAATGTCGATTAGTATGGAACAAAGCTGGGAATTGAGAGGCAGGCAGTTCATCTAGCTGTGACTTAGGTAGAAGAAAGGAAGCTGGGGAGGTCAAGGAATGCTTTTCAAGAGAAGTGACGCCGAGCTGAGTCTAATGGCTTAGCACTTGACTTATTGAATGTTCACAGACCTCAAATCAAATAGAACAAATTACGTTACTCTTCAGTAGGGGAGCCTTTTATAGGGTCTGCCTCTCAAACCTTCTCTCAATAAATATCCAGGTTCCCACAATTATTTCTCACACAAATACTATGTGTTTCTATTGATTTTTGTTCCATAGCAGGTTAATTTAAATACCCTGAATTGCATAATCTAAAGAAGATTCTAATGGTAAGAAATCTAGCATATTACTTTCAAGTTCGAGAGCTGGAGCTGAGCTACAAAGACACCTACTTTGTTTATAAGCAACATGATTTCTGTAATTCTAGTGTGACTTACAAGCAAATAACACTGATATGTATACCATAGCAAAACCCAAGCCTCTCCTTTTAGCATTCTAAATAAAACTGAAAGCTGAAAGGTAACCAACACAGAAGGGTTTAAAGTGAGACACTGACCATTGTCAGTTGTACCATTTGACTGACTTCATAGACTTTCACAATCAACAGATATACAGAAATCATAAATATCCCACATGTAAGCAATGCTACTTAATAAGCTGTGTGAAGACGACTCTGAGTTAAGGTTGTTGTCATAGGAACAATGTTTGCCTATGACATCAGTGAGAGGACCAGAGGAATGTGGGCTGGTCTGCTCTGCTTAAGATAGTGCATGGCTGATATGGTGAAATGTCAGGAAATTGGGATACTAGCTAGCGGAAAGGGTAAAACACTATTCCCATTCCAAAAGTGCATGTTTCTTTTGTTTTCTAGGGACATGCACTTAATAAGGTACTTCTTTTCTTTTAAAAAGTAACTTTTAAACTGGAAATGATGAATTCCATTTCTTTAAGGAGATTTTGGAAAATGTACTGAGCTCCTCTGAAGAAACCAATCTCAGGTGGCCTCCATACGTTGGGAAAGTACAAACTCCCAGGGTGACGGAACAGTCGCTAGATGTCCATTACGCCATAGAAAAAGGCACAGTTGATGCATTTCTCTTGGGAGGTGTGTATCTAAAAGGAGACTCGAAATCACATTCTGTCCATTAGAGAAAACCTGACAGGCCCCAGCAGGGGAATACACCTGTGTTTAATAAATGAAAATCACTAAGCTCATTCCCTGTGCTTGCTTTCTCCCACACGACCCTTCCTTGCAGGGCCGGCTATACAATGTTTGTTGGGCTTTTGAAAAAAAAGGATTTGAAATGAAGAGGATAGTAGTTGTTTGTCGAGGCATAAGTTTTTCAGTAGGTTTGTAAAACAAAATGTATAAATGGTAAACTCCTGAAGGTAGAATTCCTTTGGCATAGGACATAATACATGGCAAGCAGTTTCATATATTCTTATTGCTTGGTTTATATTCAGTCCAAAAAATCGTGGTGGCATCTGTCTCGAATTTAGACAAACTGTCTAATCTACCAAATGACCATCCAGGCCAGGGCCAAGAATGAATGATAGCATGGTTTGTCGGAAACAAGGTTTTCATACTTTAACAGATAATATATTGACTTCATTACTAAAGATTCACAGTCTTTTCTTAAATTTCATAAAAAGAGAGTGTTATGTAGATGGTGTCTGAATTCTGAATTTGTCTCAGTAGGTAAAAGAGATATTGTTGCAAATGAAGTTCCAGATTATCAAAACTGTAAAAATACTCAGTGACTCTCTACAATCAAATTAGTGTTATGTTAACCTACAGGATTTTTTTAATAGTCACTACTGAAAATGAAGCTTGTAGATCCCCCTGATCAAACCAATCCAACCAATAATAGATAACTATTTCTTTGTAGGAGATGTCTCAATTTAATGGTGTTTTGACTGAGCATTATCAACAGGGTCAGAGAAACCTTTCCAGGGTAGCAATAATTGAGGTAGACGTGGAAGAGTTCAAGAAAACTAGGAGGGAGAGAAAGGCTATTCTACTCGGAGGGCTAACACCGTAATTCTCAGAGTGCGTGGTCCCAGACCCAGCAGCGTCCACATCACCTGGGAGTCTGTTAGACGAGCTAACCCTGCCTCACAATTAGTGAGTCAGAATCTCTGGGGTGGGACGCAGCAACCTGTGTTTTAACAAGCACTGTCGGTGACTTTTATGCACCCCAACACTGAGCACTACTGAGCTAAAAATTAGCCATTTGGCAGGAAGTGCTGTGTTTGACCTCAAGGTCTTCACTGTGGCTCAACTTTAGACTGACTGTGGACGGTGGTGAAGACTGAGGATGAAAACCTGAGCAAGAGGGCCAGACGCGGCACGTGCCCTCTTGCGGAATTTGTACTGTGTAGATCAGAATGATGGAGAGCTACTGAAGTGCTTGTAAGCGGAGAATTAATAAGAAATTACCTGTTAAAAGTAACTCTAGAGACAATGTGAGAAACAGACTGAGCCTCTGACAAGGTAAGTTTGCCCAAGGAAACAAGGTGATTATTGGTGAGGAGAGCAAAAGATGTCACAGTTACAGGAGACTTCCACAGGCTGGGAAAGGACTGTCTTACTCCTGTTAGTATCCACTGAGGAGAAGGGAAAAGAGAAAGACGTGTTTCAGGGGGTACATGTTGAAGCTACTAAAAGCAATTAAAAATTCCAGAGAGGTGTCTCTCCCTCTCTCATATATATGAAAATGGTTAAATTATATATTACATCATCACATTAATATTCTAATACTAATATAGTGTTCTAATAATATATAATACTCATATTATGAACATATAACTAAATATATAATTAAACTGTGACAACAAATGAGATTCCCTAGAGAACTATATAAGGGAGAAAAGAACTGAAGGGGAAAAAAAGCCCTGAAGTAGCTAAAAAGACCTTATGAGCATGTTGGACAGAAAAAAAAAATAACAGCAAAATCTTTAGTCTCTGATTTTTGTATTACCAGCATAGATCTAGCCATCTATTGTTTATACAGATCACTGGCTTAGTTGTAAAAATATGATTAATATGAAAAGAGCTGGAGTTTGCATAATTTTGAGAGAGGCCTTGCTTTTTTCAAAGATAAAGGTAAAAAAGAAAAAGAAAAACACATTAAAAACTCTAAAGCAGCAATCTTTTTACAATGTAATTTAACCTAGTGAAATATGGAATGAATAAAAACATTTACATAATGCTCCAGAAACTAGGAGGGAAAGCTGACTGAAAGCACTTTATTGATAGCAAATAAAAAATAATAAATAAAATTTGGCAAATAAAAGATAATAAAGACAATTGGATAAAGCCCTTTCTCCCCTCTCTCAGCTGGGATTCCACATCCCCTTGAAATGAGCCCTGCATGCTTCTCCAATGGCCCCACAAGGTCTTGCAGAATCTACGCTTTACTGCATTTACTGCAGAGGAACCTTCCATGAAAAAGAAGTCAGTTTGCAACAAGAGTTGGTTTCCACCTCCTATGGAGGATTGCTGGGACTCTGAGGTACTTCATGCTACTTTGTAGCTGTCTGTGCAATTACCACCAGACTCCCAGGCCAAAAGGCAACCTGATAAGTGGAGGAAAGAAAGTTAAACCTAAGGTGTCACCTTAATCCTCATTTTAGCCTATCTGGCAGTTGATGTCATTGTTTATTTGTTACATGCAAGCAAATCATCCTACTTGCAATCTTGACGAGATACATTTTTTCTCTGATCATCTTAACTACCTTTCTATCTCCAATCCCCCACCCCCCCCCACCCCTGCGGCCCCAAAGGTATATACACATTTTAGAGTAAGGAAGTGGTATGTGAACATCTTTCCACCAAATGTCTTTCTTTTCTCTCCCAACTATAGATAATGAGGCTAGAAGCGTAATTACCGAGTGAGTCAAGAAAGTTTGAGATGGAAATCATCTCAAAAATAGTGGGGACTGCAGTGCAAGAAAATGCACTTTAGAGCTGTCGGATGCACTTGGAATGTGATAAACGTCTTGAGTTTGACAACCCACATGATGGACCAAAGGAAGCTGCGTGTTAGCCAAATACCAGAACAACCCACTAAATCCAATTCATTTAGATTTTGTAATGAGAAAGCCTGCGAAACTTTGTTAGGACTACTAAAGTTCTGATGGAGGGGTAAGGAAGAAACAGGACATGGGCCAGGGAGTTTCTCTGAGGTGCCGTCCTCAGAACCTGTGGTTTGCAAATAGCTTCACCTTGACTTGTTCCTCTGCTGGAGGCTTGAAGTTTAAGGAAACACTCACCCGTTCTCAACTAAGTCACTTAGCATTGAGATCGCAGGTTAAAAAGTTCAGGGGAAATACGTCTCTAAAGCTTAGGAGCAAATGTGCGTGGAACATGTACCCTATTCCCAGCTCCGAGCTCCACAGTCTCTGTGGCAGAGAACAATCTCTCTGTTCCAGCTGCCCTTAGCACTTAGCACCACAAACGTTGCGTCTCTTCCACCCAAGTTTCACCTACAGGCCCTGGGCTCTTTCTTCTCCTCACTTCTTTGTGACGCCAGGGGCCCCAGGTAGAGGAGCCCTAGGACTGGCGGGTCACAAAGGCAGGTGCAAACGCCAAGTGCGCGCAATGGTCTGGTCACTTCAGGCTGGCTTGGGCTCAGGTTCTGCTGCTCCAACCCCGAAGACCCCTGGGAGCGAGCCCTGATCCACCATCATTTACTATGGCCAGCCAGTTATGCCTCCCTGGTGTCCAGCCCCTCTCGTCCCTGAAACCCTTGAAGGCCCACTTCCCAGACGTCCAAGTGGGCATCTGCGTGGCGATCCAGCGCAGCGACGGGCGGATCCACCTCGCTGTGGTCTCAGAGTTCAAAAGAGAAAACACTTGGGTCACGGTAGAGTGGGTCGAAAAAGGAGTCAAAAAGGGCAAGAAGATTGACCTAGAGACCATATTCCTGCTGAATCCAGCGCTGGCCTCCGTGGAACCACCCAAGCTGTCCAGGTCATTGTCTGCCTTGTCTCTAGCGCCCTCTTCGGCCACCGGGGACCAATGCGTGGCCACACAATGGATTGCGAGGATCCCCCCGAAAAACGAAACACCCTCAGGAGACAGCCTCGCTGTGGAAGTCCCCAGCAGTCCTTGCCTAATGAAATGGAAAAAGTCTCCGTGCCTCCGAGAAATAGAGAAACTACAAAAGCAGCGGGAGACTCGCAGGCGGTTGCAGCTGGAGATCCGAGCCCAGCGTGCCCTGGACGTTCACACGGGAAACCCCAACTACGAGATCATGCGCATGATCGAAGAGTACCGCCGGCACCTGGACAGCAGCAAGGTATCCAGCCTGCAGCCGAGGGAAGACCCTCGGATCTGCGTCTGCGTGAGGAAGCGGCCTCTCAATCAGCAAGAGATCTCCATGAAGGATTTGGATATCATCACCATCCCCTCGGACAATGTGGTCATGGTGCACGAGTCGAAGCAAAAGGTGGACCTCACTCGCTACCTGGAGAACCAGACCTTCTGCTTCGACCACGCTTTTGATGACACGGCCTCAAACGAGCTGGTGTACCAGTTCACTGCCCAGCCACTGGTAGAGTCCATCTTCCGCAAGGGCATGGCCACCTGCTTTGCCTATGGGCAGACAGGCAGCGGGAAAACGCACACCATGGGTGGAGCCTTTTCAGGAAAGACCCAAGATTGTTCTAAAGGCATTTACGCCCTGGTGGCCAAGGATGTCTTCCTCCTGCTCAAAACCTCAGCGTACGAGAAACTGGACCTCAAAGTCTATGGCACATTTTTTGAGATTTATGGGTGCAAGGTATATGACCTGTTGAACTGCAAGAAGCAGTTGCAGGTCCTTGAGGACGGCAATCAGCAAGTCCAGGTGGTCGGGCTGCAGGAGCAGGAGGTGTGTTGTGTGGAGGACCTGCTGAACCTCGTGGAGCTAGGGAAGAGCTGCCGGACTTCCGGACAGACGTCAGTCAACGCCCACTCTTCCAGGAGCCACGCGGTGTTCCAGATCATCCTGAAGTCGCGAGGGAAACTGCACGGCAAGTTTTCCCTTGTGGACTTAGCTGGGAACGAAAGGGGAGCAGACACTGCCAAGGCCAACAGGAGAAGGCAGCTGGAAGGGGCGGACATTAATAAGAGTCTCCTTGCACTCAAGGAATGCATCCGGGCTTTGGGTCAGAACAAGTCTCATACCCCATTCAGGGCCAGCAAACTTACCCAGGTGCTCCGGGACTCCTTTATTGGCCAGAACTCTTCCACTTGCATGATTGCTACTATCTCTCCAGGGATGTCCTCCTGTGAGAACACCCTCAACACTTTAAGATATGCAAATAGAGTGAAAGAGTTAACTCTAGATTTCAGGCCCCACCATCGCTGTCCCTCTCCCGTTAGACATGAGGTGCCAAGGGTGCTGCAAAACCATGTTAGAAATTCAGAAATGTCCCTTCAAAGGGATGAATTCATTAAAATATCCTGTCTACAGGGTGAGGAGGAGGAAGAGACTAGAGGAACTGAAGCGCTGTCCACTCCATTAATGGAGGATGCAACAACTTCATGGAAAGAATCAAGCCAATGTCCAGGAAACAACAGCCATGAGGCCGACCCTGGGGTAAACTACGATGTTCATTTTTGCATTACCAAGTTAATGTCCATTTTGGAGCAGAAAATCGGTATTCTGATTGAAATTCAAAAGAAACTGAAATTATTACGAGCTGACCTGCAAAAGAAGAGAAAGGTAGAGTGAAGCCAATGACAGCAGGGCAGATCTGAAATCCTGGATACATTGCTACCTCTCTTATGAATAAAAATTGCCTAAATTGTCTAGACACACGGATCCTTCTGGAAAGCTCATGTCATCCTAAAATGCTCATTGAAATGTCCTCTCTCTTCTTCCTCTGTATTTCTACAGTGTGTTGTCATCCTGCAAGACAGGGATTCTCAGGTGGGAACGAACCATTTTGCCTCTCAGGGTCACTTGGCAGTGTCTGAAAACAGTTTCAGTTGGCAAAAGTGGGTGTGAGGGGAGTGGTGATACTGGCAGATAGTGGGTAAGGGCCAAGGATGCTGTTCAACATCCTCCAAAGTACCAGATGGCCTCCAGCAACAAATAATTACCTGGTTAAAAATATCCATACTAGTGAGGTGAAGCAACCCTGCTGGGGAAGAACCTAGCTGTGAGGAAACCAGGTGACCCCACATTTGTGGCTAGGAAGGCAAAATACTGCAGATTCCAGGGGCAAGACTTGGAATACACCAAGGAGTGTGCGGGCAGTAATTGCAATGATAACTCTCATGAATCTTTTTGTGTTGTGTTGATATGTAGATTCAAATGGTCTCTAAGCTCTAGTCCTCCTGGGGAATGGGGTAGGGAGGTAGGGAGGTATTTTCTTTCAGAGACTCTCTGTGAGAGGCTAGAATTAAGGGGGATTTTTACTTTTCATCTTTGAATTGAAATTGTGAAGTGCTGTGCATCCTGGGAGTGACAAAGTGTGTGTGTGTCTGTGTGTGTGTGTGCTGCATAAGCGTTGGCTTTGTTGACTATGATGTCTTTAAGCTTCTTTTTTTTCCCCCTGTTTACCAAATTTTGTGCTTACATGAGTCACATAAAAAGCCTTCACCCACCAAATTAAGGTAGGGAACAAGTCAGCACGGCACTAGCAGCAAAGTTCTGGTCGGAGGAGAGACACCTGCTATAAAGACTCCATGGGGCATGTGAGCAATCTCGGTGTCTGAGATCAATTCAATAAAGACAGACTTCTTATTTAGGGATCACAGAGACTAATCTGATAAGAAAATATAAATATGATAAATAATCGAATATACATCTACCTTCAGGAAATATTTTTATTTACCAAATGCCATAATAAAATAACTATGGGTCTCTTGGTTCCAAGTCTAGCAAGTCCAAACTCTTTTAAAAGCAAAATGAAACTTGGGGATGCAGAAAATTAGTGTCCCAATACCATAACTACCTTGGGCAGACATGGCCTCAACTTTTTTTCTTTAAGTTGCAAAGGCCTCACTGACATTGAAAATTCTGACACATGACTCTGCGTTGGAGTAGAACAGTAATGGCCCAAGCCAAATCTATCAGTGTAAAACAATTAGGGTCATCGGGAACCTAATTAGTAATTAGTCAATATTATGCCCTTTAAGTATTTTCCCCTCTTGGTTTATCTATGCAGGTCAAATTATTTATTATTATTACTATTATTAAAGCAAACAAAACTTTGCAAATCTGTCCTTTAGCACAAAATGCTCTTCCTTTCAAATGAGGTGTTTTTAATCTAACTTATTTCTTTTTTATGCAATGAGAAGTATGGGGTTAAGAATCTTACCTGGACTCCAGTCCCAATTCTATCATCTAAATATCTATAATTTTAGGCAAGTAACTTATCCCCGTTGAGCTATTTCCTTCATACTTTCTATATGAACCACAATAATCATAGCATCTCCTTTCAAAGACTGGAAGGAGTTCTTATTTTCTCCCTCCTTCTCTCACATCTGCTGTGCCAATGACTAGTACTCATTTATTATTGTTCTTTATTGTCATTGTCCTGTTATCTAATTACCACCCTTACCCCTCACCCTGCCCTCCGCCACTACTCCTGTCAAATGCACAAGTTTGGGTAACCTACTAGTAGTTTCAATATTCTGATAGCAGTAACACCATTTTTTGTATTTTCTTTCTTTTAATAAAGTGTAGCATGAAACTAAGTGCAAAGTCTTAACTATACTGTTCCATGAATGTTTACAAAGTGAATGCACCTCTGTATATTAAGATATAGAACATAACCAGTGTTCCAGAAGCCTCATTCCTGCCTCATTTTACTCATTATTCCCTGCATCAAAGGTAAGGCCTACTCTGACTGAAGTCATCATAGATACTATTTGCCTGTTTAAAAAAGAAAAAAAATGTCATAAGAATGGGATCATACTTGATAGCCTTGCTTCTCTGTCTTGTATCTTTTGGTAAAAATTATCTGTGACCTGTCCTTTTTACACAATTCCATAGTGTCCCACTTCATAAATATCTCCTTAATTTATAAATTTTACTGTTGATGGAAAATTTAGTTATTTTTGTTTTAAGCAATTACTAAGGATGCTAGGAATGGGATTTTTAGATACATGGTATGTATATATTCAGCATAATCAGTCATGCCAAGGAGTTTTCCAAATGACTTGCACTGGTTTTACAGAACTATCAGTATTTTACAAGAATTATGGGTCCTCCATATATTTGCCTACACTTAGTATTGTTACTTTTTAAAACTAGTTTTGCATGTGTCATGCAAAGGTATCTACTGTGTCATGGAAAGGTACTTCAATATGGTTTTAACTTTTGTCTTTTTTTCTTAATTACTAATGTAGAATATCTTGGTTTTAAACATCTTTGTATGCACTTACTAGCTCTTCCATAAGTCTTTTTTGTGCAATATATGTGGAGTCGATGTTTGTTTTTCTTTAGATATATGTATTTCAAATGTCTTCTTCCAGTCTGTGAAATGCCTATTCACTCTTTTAAGGATGTCTTTTGATGATCAGAAGCTTAATGAATTAATAAAGTTAAATTGATCAATTTTTTATTTCATAGTGAAGCCCTATTTCATGAATCTCTATCTGCCCCAAATCGTTCTCCATTGCTATCTTCTACCAACTACTGCTTGGGCTCTGAATCGAGCCAGGGCCTGCTCATGTGAATGCCCAAGGACAGCGGCAAATGGAACGAGTTACAAGCTCCGTGCCAAATGGGGCTAAGTCCACAGGGGCGTGGCTCTTCTTCCACTCTGCAGCTGGGACCATGTTTGCAAATCTGCCACCAGGGCATGGCCCTGCCTTCTCAGCATGGCTCTCCTCAGTCTTGGACTTCACTGGAGTTGCACAGCCTCCTACCTGGATGGTAAAGCTCCCACAAAAGCATTGCTGACAGTGATGGCTGTCATATTGTTTACTGGGAGAGAAGAAGCTGGAGAACTCCTATGCCACCATGGACCTTATCCCATGAGTCTTATCTCACCCAGAGTTCTCTGTATAAGACTGTACAGACTCAAGGTATTCAATGCCCATAATTGCTCAGATTTTGATTTAGTATTTTTTTCTTATACAAGTACTAACTTATTGTCATAGAACTATAGTATGCACATTATCTTTAATTTCCATGTTTATTGTTTCTAATTTTTTATTCCTGACACTTAGTTCTAACTTCTATTATTTTTTGTTCAATCCGACTTGTAATATGCTTATAAATTACATTAGACTTTTCAAAGAACTCCTGGCCATTTTATTTTCTCCATTGTATATTGGCTTTCTGTTTTATAAATTCCATGTTTCCGCCTTTCTTTTTAATAAATTTCACCTTTTTTTCAAACTCTTTGAGTTCAATAGTTAGATCACAGATTTGTCATTATTTCTGGTTTTAAAATTATAGATTTCTAAACACTCATCCATCTACATAATGTCATATTATTATTCAAAAAAATGAATACTCAACTATTCAAAATATTAAATATTTAGTTTCCATTTATTTTATCAAAGAGTTATTAAAAGAACTGCTATATTCCTATGATTTTTAGGTCAAGTTTGTAAATCAAGTTGTTCAAATCTTCTGAAACATTTAATGACTTTTATTAACCAAGAAAGATATTTAGTTCTCAGACTTTTTAAGCTTTTTGTTGTTCTCACAGTTTTCAGTTTATATGTTTTTAGGCTATGTTACTAGCTGCATGTACATTCAGGGTTGTTATATATCTCTTCAATTCAGCTTTAACATTCTTCTTTTTTCTTTATAATTTTCTCTGATTTATTTATGCATTTTCCAAAATTAGTACAAACTTAATAGTTTTTCTTCAGATTGCATCTGCATGGTATATAGTTTATAATTGTTTTATTTTGAATCTTTCCGTGTTTACAGTTAATGTTTATTTTTTATAAGCAATATGAACTTGGTTCTAATTTGCTGTTTTTAAAAATTAGAGCATCTCATCCATTTCCATTTGATGTAACTCCAAATATATTTACATTTATGCCTATGACATTATTATTTGTTTTCTATTTATCTACTCTGTATTTAATTATTTTTTCCTGATTTTTTCTTCCCTTTGTATCAATCAAGTTATTTTTATTTTGTTGTTCATTATTTCCCCTCTAATTGCTTGTCAGCTATGTATTTTTATACTCTTTCTTTATAATTGTCTTTGAAATCATAGCATGCATCCTTATTATTAAGCTGCATTTTTATTTCCTCCTGGAAATGAGACTACCTTAAAATATTTCAACTCATCATTCCTTTCTCAGCTTTAATTTTTATCATTTAATTCTGCAGATATTTCTATGCTTACAATACATCATTATAAGCAGTATTAATTTAAATTGCTCATTAGTTTATTATTCCCGATGTTCTTAATTCTTCACTACTCTATCTTGCATCCATTTGAGATGGGTTTTCTTCTTGAATAATTTAAATGTAAGGATAAAATAGTAGGCCTTTTGGTGATACATGCCCTCAGCCTAAAAAGTCATTATTTCACTTTCATTTTTAAAATACATTTTTGCTGCTTATAGAATATTTAGTTGGCTTCTCTTCTATCTTAAAAAAATTATAGCATTGTAAACATATAATTCTTTTATTTATTCTACGATTCCTATAAAAATTAACTGTCCTTTGAAGAAACTTTTAAGTTTTTCTGCTTGTCTTTGATTATCAACATCATTTGTTTCTATGATACTGAGACAAGGCGTGATTTT